ACACAAGATACAAGTCCGTTTCAACACATTACATAAAATCCGTGATCTGGTTTCGTCTGTAAAAGTTGTGATTCCGGACATACAGTACTCTGGTGTCTACAAACTAAGTTGCCTCTGTGGTAGTAGTTACATTGGAGAAACCAAACGACGTCTCGGACCGCATTCGTGAACACAAAGCAGACCTTAAACACAGTAGGACCAACACCTCGGCCGTGGCAGATCACTGTTATAATTCAGTAGGCTCACATTGCATTGACTTCTCCAAGACAGAGGTTCTTTGCAAGCCATCTGGCTACCATGAGAGATTCGTTCATGAGGCTATCCACATATACAAACACAGAGACAATTTCAACCGAGAAGATGGATTCTGGCTTAGCAATCATTGGAAGGATTTGATAAACCATTTCGGGTCTTAATTGATTGTTCACGCTTACGGTGGCTTTCAGACAGCATACATTAATTTTTTCGTCTCCCCCCTCCTCTTTTCCAAACATAGATGGACTCTTCCTTCTAAACAAACTGTCAAATCGCTATCCGTGGTGCTAACGTTTAAAAATAACTATAAAAATACAAACAGCCACTTCATTTAAAAGTTTCTTGCCGTTGGTTTTCACACCTGATGATGACTGTTTGTGTTACAGTCGAAACGTTGTGAGAATTTTATTGTTATATATATTTTATTATTTTATTGCTTCCCTTCAACGTGACTTTACCGAAAGAACCAAGAATATGAATCACTGCAGTCACGAAAGCTTTAAATCAAAATTTTACTTTCGTCCTAACCGCGTGATTCTCCTGTTAGCTTAAATCAATTGAAAAATTTTAAACTAACAACGATTTAAAACTATTTTGTTTAAACTATTTGTTTCATCTTACCAGGTAAGGCCCACTGAGCTATATATCTCAGCGGGCCGCCACTTTCAGTTCTCCATTCATGCACGTGGGCTGCAAGGTGGAATGAAGGGGGTTAGGGGACTGGGGGAACACCCTAGAGAGATACCCATTGGAGACATGGAATGGGGGAGGGGGGTATAAGGGTTTGGCAGAAATAAAGCGGTGGGCGAGGTGGGGTGTTGGAAAAAAATAAAGTTCGCTTAGTACAGGGGTCGGAAACCTACGGCTCTTATTTATTGCCGCATGTGGCTCTTGAAATATTGATAATTTTTTTGACCGAATAAAAAAAATGGCTCTTCTTGCGATTTTGGTTGCCAATATCTGGTTTAGCAAGACGCCTCGTGGTGTGGACTCACGTTCATCGCCATGCCCTTTACTTTGTCCTGCAGGAAAGGAGTCTCAGGACACGCTGTTGAAGAGGGTCCTAGTGACATTGGGATGTGTGGCCACAGTCAGTGAGATGTTGGTGGCATGCGGGAGGAAACTGGAGATCCTGGAGCGAACCGCCACTAATTCGTCGAGGGGGGTTACACGGAGCCCTGCACCATCCCATAACCCCACGCCTACAACATCTGGCAAAGCCACGGAGGTCACCTGTCAAAGTACAGTACTATCCAGGCGCCCAACCTGCTCAGCTTGTGTAATCCGACGGAGATGGGGAGCATTTTTCAAATAATTTTCAGTCTTGAGACTCACCGACTCACCGAGTTTCAAGACGCTTTGGAGGGTACTGCGAAGTTTTCGCAGTGAGGGGGAGAGGGGGAGGGGGTGATGTTGCTGCTGCTATGTGTCATCCCAGTTGCGTGATTTGCCCGTGATTTTTCAGGTCCGAGATGTTTGTCATGACCGATCTCATTGTACCGCGTGTCGAGTTATTTGATAAAATTGCTGGCGCATCACGAATAAAAATAACTCCACTCTTCATGAAATCCCTCACGTTCACAGCATAGGCGCAGCGGAGTGAGATCCTGAGATCCATTAATTTTAATTGGCTTGACCCTACGGGCGAAGCTGGCAATAGGACGTGGCGGTGGGGGGGTAAGATGATCTATATAAGAACGGCACAAGGTGGAGACGTGGGCGAGAAAGAGAGGCGGGCGAAGGTGCGTGGGAGAGCAGGGGATACCGAGGTGACAGGTAAAATCCCACACGCAGACACACAGACAAATAGACAACATATTCTTAGTTATTTCGGTAAAGTCACGTTGAAGGGAAACAATAAAATAATAAAATATATACAAAACAATAAAAATTCTCACGACGTTTCGACCATAACATCGTCAGAGAATTTTTATTTTTTATATATATTGTATTATTTTATTGTTTCCCTTCAACGTGACTTTACCGAAATAACTAAGAATATGAATTACTGCAGTCACGAAAGCTTTAAATCAAAATAGACAACAGTTTACACGTATGCTTTCGCGACCAATATCGTCCATAATATAGTTTTTTTGGGGTTAGATCGCGTAAATATGAATGTAAATATAAATGTGTCATTAAAACCGCCACCATCAGAAATGTGCACATTGCAAATGTTGTTGGTTTGCTCTCCAACACACCGGTGTGCTGTACTAGTAACGAATTGACATGTTCTGTTAACGTGACAAACCTTACTTATTGGCTATGTCGGTTTGTGGCGGGATTAACGACGCATTTATATTTACGCGATCTAACCCAAACAGACAACATTATTGTTGACAGACAACATTATTGACAGACAACAGCCCACCTGCCACCGCTCTCACTCCGCTCATCTTGGCGAGAGCGACCGAGATAGGTAACGACGGTGTGAGCCAATCTGCGTGGATCATAGAGTTTATCGTGGTGCTGTGGCTGTGTTTTGCCCCCCGTCTGGACAATGAACTCGGAGTTACAAACCACGAGGTCCGTGTTTGGGGTGGTCACTCTTGTTCTGTCGGCGTTCCGGCCAAGGAACCAGAAGCATGACATTCTAACCCTCTTTGTTTTGAGACAATGGCCCGAAGGGTAGAATAAACTCCAGAGCTACTACCACTTGAGATCCCTTCAGGTCACTTGGGCCACACAGCAGAGAGGGCAGCACTCCTCCCACCTCACTCTGCGTCATGAGGGCAACGTCCATTACCTTACGCTCAAAGCGATATTTGCATTCTCACTCACCGCGCTTGAAAAACTGGTTTAATCACAACTCAGTATATGTATATGTGAGTCTATGGGTTTCTATACGAGTCTATAAATGGCTATGTGAGTCTGGGGGTCTCTGTGTGAGTCTATAGGTTTCTGTATGAGTCTACAGATATCTATGTGAGTCTATGGGTCTCTGTGAGCCACTTGTGACCGGGCTGAGACCATTGACTCACCACGCTTGAGAACCCGGTTTAATAACAGGCGACTGCCTGAAACCTGGATTTGAACCCATGTTCTGTGAGCCACGCGGACACCTCTTCACCGTCACGTTTCCAGTCCATCCAACGAAGTGCACGTTGTCGTCTGAGAGTTGTCTCCAAGAACTTGGGAACTCGTGACATAAAATCCATCTATTCGTCAATTAAGATTTATTCATACGCCCATGATATGACACCACGTTGGCGAGATGTTAACTACCTCGCCTGTTAAACAGGAGTCCGTGGGTTTGATCCCGACCCTGTCGCTTGTAAATTTGGAGTATGCATGTTCTCCCCGTGGTCACGTGGATTTTTCTCCGGGTCCTCCGGTTTTTTTCCTCCACATTTAGAAACATGCGTTTACACTATTTCGATGCTATACATTCCCACATGCAAACGTTTGAAGGGAATGGGTTGAGGATCAGTCGGATAAACACTGAGGCAAATTTCAGTGGCAATTATACAAAAGGAGGATTGCAAATTGCAAGTGACCAGTTAATGAAGACGAACGAGTTTTAGTTCCTGGGTCCAACGATGTGTTCTGATCGATCACTAGAAGCAGATATGAGAAGAAGAACAAGGACTGGATGGCTGAAGTGGCGAGAGATGACTGGTGTGGTGTGCGATAAGAGGGTCCCAGTTTGGTTGAAGGGAAAAGTGCACAAGACGGTGGGTGAGGCCGGTGCTGTTGTATGGAGCCGAGTTCTGGGGCATACGAAAAAGGGAGGACTAAGCAATTGTAGTCACAGAGATGAGGATGTTGTGGCGGATGTTGGGTTTAACAAGGAAGGACAGGGTGAAAAATTAAGAAGTGAGATGAAGAGGTGCTAGAAATCACAGCGAAGATGAGAGAGAACAGGCTGGTGTGGTTCGGCCATGTGGAGAGACAACAGGAAAATGATGTAGATCAGAAGGTGCAAGTGATGCAAGTGGAAGGAAAGCGGATCAAGAGGAAGGCAGAATAAGAGGTGGCGGGGCGATGTGGTGCGATCGAACATGGTGGCCCGAGGAGCGGAAGGAGAGATGACGCAGGATAGGGCACCGTGGAGAAGTTTGGCAATGACAGCGAACCCTCATAAGTGGGACGAACGCGTGGATGAAGAATAAGACATTCCCACATGATGAAAAGCCACTTCGGCACAATATCCAATACGAGAGCGTGTGGACAAAGCAACACTGCGGCTTTGTCACCTCCACATATAGGGTTAGTCCATCGGCCTATTGGTTAACCTGACCGATATTATTAGAGCATTGAGTATTGCGTGCGAGATCCGAATCTGGGCACGCGAAATCGACACTTCAATCATTGAAATGCCTGCCTGCAGGCGGACGACATTGTGACTAAATTACTGAATTACCGGAATGAATGAAAGTAAAAAAATAATTCCACGTAAACCGATAGCTCCGAGATAGCAGACGAACCCGCGCTCAAAGATTCAAGTCAACGTCATCAAAATCATCAACATCATCATCATCACCGTCCTCGATCCATCCACTGCTATGGACCGTGCAGTATCCCACTGTGGTCTGCGTTCCTTCAACGGAGGAGGAACAGCAAAACTACGCAAACGATTTCTCTCTGTCTCTCCTGGAGCCCTCTCGTCGTGGCGAGCAGCAGCCAGGATCTCCACGTTGGTGTTTAGCTCCTATTCTCATTGCTGCTGCTGTCATTATCATCGGCATCATTCGCAAGGAGAAGAGTAGAATCCACTGTTGGACGAAGGCCGTGCTTGTCGTGAATTGAGCCGAACCTTTTTTTAATAGAAATTATTTGCTCAGAAAGCCGCGGATCTTCACAGGGCCCTTCTTAATGCCGGGGGGCTCAGCCACACCCAGCGAGCTGCTGGTCTCCCCACGAGTGAATGGGTCCCGGTATTTATTCGTTCGGCATCGGATGCACGGTGCTCGGTTATTTGCTAAAGCTATATATCATGCATTTCTGTGTTACCACGCTATATGATGATGTACAAATGAACCATATGTTAACATCTGTTTAACTTAACTGGACTTTTGTGCTCTAGTTATATGCAAGCTACGCGACTGCTGGCAAGAGTGACCTAGCTGCCGAAGGTGCCTCCTGTCGCTGTGCATTTAAAGACCCCCATCATCAGCACAGACCGGCGGCTATGTCACCTAGTTGAAGGGCGATAAACTCGGAGCTCGCAAAGACTTGTCCGGACTTTTCGGGGAGTCTCTGCGCCGCACCTGGACATTTTGGTGACAGTGCTCTCTGGCTGAGCCTCTGTGTCCATAAAACCCGGGCGACACACAAACTACACCATGGCCGAGAACTCCAGCAGCAGTAGCAGCAGCAACAGCGGCAGCGGCGCCGAGGGCTCGTCGGAGTGCGTGGTCTCCTATTACGGACTCAACTGCACCCAGATGGACTTCTCTAAGAGCGAGAGCGCCCTGATCGTGGGCATCATGAGCTTCTTCATCACCGTCACCATCATCAGCAACCTGCTCATCATCAGCGCCGTCGTCTTCTTCCGGCAGCTGCAGACGCGAGCCAACGCGCTCGCACTGTCGCTGGCCGTGTCCGACCTCCTCGTCGGGGTGGTCATCATGCCCCTCGCCATGGTCAAGTCGGTCTACAAGTGCTGGTTCTACGCGCGGTGGCTCTGCAACGTGCAGTTCTTCTGGGACTACTGGTTCACGACCGCGTCGGTGCTGCACCTGAGCTGCATCGCCTACGACCGCTACGTGGCCATCTGCGACCCCCTGCGCTATGCACAGCGGGTGACGCGACGCACCCTGACGTTCATGCTCCTCTTCTGCTGGATCGCCTCGGCCCTGCTGTCCACGCCGATCCTGCTCAGCATGAGCCCCACGCTGTCCAAGGGAAGGATCGAGACGGTGGGCTGCCCCGACGACTGCCGCTTCCTCATCAGCGTGGGCATCCTCTTCACCATTGGCATGTGGCCCTACTTCACGTCCGTGCTACTCATCATGCTCATGTACGGCCGCATTTATCGAGTTGCGCGCGGCCAGGCGCGCAAGATCGCCGCGATGGACCGTACCTCGTCGGGCCTCGGCGGCGGGGAGGAGGCCGGCAGAGTCGCGGCGAGTCGCTGGGCCAGCATGAGACGGGAGCACAGCGCGACCAAGACGCTGGGCGCTATCATCGCTGCCTTCATTATCTCTTGGCTGCCGTTCTACATCATCGCTGTCATATTCACGATGGACGAGAGCGTCCTCCTGGCTTACAAAGTGGCCGTGTGGATCGGCTACATGAACTCGGCCATAAATCCCATCCTGTATGCCACCTTCAACAAGCAGTTTCGGCACGCGTTCAAGGAAATTCTGACCCTCAATGTGTTTTTGTCTCCGGCGGACAGAAACAAGGAGATGCAATGAGGACGTTGGAGAGATGGAGCTGTTTCCGACGAGGTTTTTTAAATTTACTTTTTCTGGAATGATGTTCAACGTTTCACTCAGTTCCTTAAAGGAGCTCACGGCCCCAAGCTCTGCGACGTGCTTTCGAGTTGTACCGTACGCCATTCGCGCACGGTGTTCGACGTTTCGCTCTGCGTGCCAGCAGATTCAAGATCTTGAACAAGTGGGGGGTTGAGTCTGCATAACAGCTGTTACAGGCTGCGGGGCTACCTGGAGGAAAGCTGACAGCGGTGGAGATATATCCATCATTTTACCGAACACTTTTGCACATCCACGTCTCCCCACTGACCAGCGTCGTGAAGTGTGGTCAAATAGCCTCCGCAACCCATCGCGGGGTCGAGAAGCAAGCCATCCAACAACAGTGGATTGGCAAGTGTTCCTGGTCGAGCTCCCAGTCAGTGGACCGAAGCGTCGGACATCATGTCGGAGAGCTACGCAGCACGGAGACAAATACATATCTACGCAGTCCATTGATTCCACACTTGAATTACCTGATGGTGGTCGTGATGGTGATGATGCTGCGTTGGCAGTGGTACACTAGCACAGACAACAACAATAACAACTCGCACACGTGAAAAGTACAGTATATAAAAGTGAAATTCCAGTCAATTGTGCTTATTCATGGGGCGTTGTGCTGTAGAAAAAGGGTGATTGCCCGAAACGTCGTTAATTATATATTTATTATTTCAAGGTGTACACACACCGCGTTATTGTTGCACATGGTGGCTCTTCTTGTGAACACTTTAATGGATCCGAACCCTCTCCTCGTCTGCACTCCCACCCCCCATCCCAGCCTGAAAGAGGGAGGGGAGCGGGATATTTTGCGGGGCTCAGCCCCGGATAGCTCTGTTTGAAATGATGCCCCCGTTGCGAGCGATGTAGAATGTACATGTATGTTGAACTTCTTTCGCACCGTACGTATAGCCAACCGTGCTAATCGGAGGTGCGGGGGAACACAACACACCGTTCTAAAGAAATACATTTTCAATCTAGATTCAAAAGTGCATAGCTCCTAATCAAAAGCCAAACGCATTCCATTGTTGGCGTTGCTGTAGGGACGTAGATGCGAGGTGTATTCATGATTGTACACCGGCAGCGATCCGGGCTGCCATTCGATTCAAGAATCGATTATTATATAAACAACAACAAAAAACATGATGTTGAATGTAGCGGCCTCTAGTGGCCGTAGAAGTCGCGTCAGTACGTTACGTACCACGCCTCACAAATACAACAGCGTGCATTAGTTACTCACATTATCCAACGCGTGCATCGCGAGCCTCTGCATGCATTTGACAGCCCCTTTGGTCTCTCCACTGCTGTAAGGAATAACAGTACAATACATCAGTGGTATAGAAGAAAAAAATAACATAGGAGTACATCAGAACAATAACATAGGAGAACAATAGAACTATAACATAGTTTCAAGTTTCATTTATTAGGTATAGCCCTGTGAGCCATGCGGCTCTTGAGTCGGGTGCAACCGCAACAAACAAAAATTTCAACAGAGAAACATCTTAAAGCAACGACGCACAACAGAAACATCCTGGATAAACCGGCAAGACTACAAATCTCAACAACTCATTGAATTGTTGGACAGGCAAGGATAGATCATGACATTCGTATATTACTGTGAATGATTCAATGTTGAGCATGGGTCAAGTGAATTTACTTAACGTGAAAACTGACAATCATAATTTGACCCTCAAGCCTATGCTGTCACTTGCCTCTCAGTGCGTGAATTGCACGACAGGCCACCAAACTTGCACACATCAGCTTCCTTTGACTACATAGGAGTACGTCAGAACAATAACATAGGAGTACAACACAATAGTGGTATAGGAATACAATGGAACAACATAGGCGTATAATACATCAGTGGTATAGGAGTACAATAGAACAATAACATAGGAGTACAATACAACAATAGTTTAGGAGTTTATATATTTACGCGATCTAACAAAAAAAGCTGTATTATAGATACTGGCGGAGCCAGTGGGGGGGGGGGGGGGGGGGGGGCCACGTGCCCCCCCCCCCCCCCCCCCCCCCCCCCCCCCAATGATCTAATCTAAATACTTAATTTCGATCTGATCTTTGGGGTTTATTAGTAATAAATCGGCATTTTGCGATCCCCACTGCCACTGTGTAGCATATTATTACGTGCCAGGGCCTCTATGAGATGATAGGACAATAGTCTGAGTCCATAATTGGCAATAATTAACGGCAAAGCAGTTATAAGTGACCACGGAATTGTGCGCAGTTATGTAAACAGTCCACGACTTCCCTGAAGGCAAACACCTTCAGCGAGCGCGATGCCGATCACACACGGTTCGAATTCGAACCTCGATCAATGGCTGCGCGTCGAATAAAAAGCAAGGGACAAGTCCTTACTCACTAACAACTCCTCGATCATTTTTGATTGCTGAAGGGGCTGTTGCCCCCCCTACCTGAAAATCCTGGCTCCGCCATTGATTATGGATGATACTGGTCGCGAAAGCCTACGTGTTAAACAGTTTAGGAGTTGTTTGTTCCACAGAGTTTATAACACATGCATATATGCACAATTAATTATTTTACTTTTAGGATTACGAATACGACAAAAGGAGTTGGCACGCAAAAAAATGTCTGTCGCCAAAACCTTCCACCACCAGACATGCCCAAACCAAACGAAATGGCCACGTGCACACGCGTGATGTGACGATGCTACAGAGCTCAGTGTTTCGTTTAGTTCAGCTCACTCGCCCGCCAAGTTGAGCGTGACATCTCTCGCGATGCGTTGCTTAGCACTGCGTGAGGCATCTCCAAACTCCCTGGGCTCTCGCCCTGAGACTCGTGGCTGAGACTGCATGCGACACCGTTGCCAGTAACCTAGCGTGTCGCAGGGCGGTTTTTTTTAACTATTTAAGAGAGGTGGGGGGGGGGGGAGCACTTTCGCCGATAAGGCTTCATCAGTGTGAGGGCCGCCACACATTTGAAGCAATTGCTGGGTTTGACAACAGCACGATGATGATGATGATGATGGGGGGTGTTTTCACTTTTGTGTATTGTCAGCGGCCGCGCTAAAGGCCACCACTGGCCGCCTGTGGCCCGCAGGCCTTGCAATGAAGAAGACTGGCGTAGCGGCTAACTGCACGCCAACACCTGGGGAGTCACCTCGGCTCTGCGAGGGTTGCCGATGTTGTGCTGCTCTTGCTGCTGCTCTGTGTAGCTCCCTCTCTCCGATGCGCTTTCGAAAGTCGTTCCGCGCGAGGCTTGTTCCTCACAAGGTCCGACGTTTCTTTCAGTTTCTGCAGAAGCTCCCGGGCACGTGCAGCGAAACGTCGGGACACCACGCCCCAACAAACGCGCCGTACGACCCTGAAATACTATCGGAGCAGGGTTGCCGCCTTTGTGGTGCAGAACACTGTGATGTATAATTATCTCGATGTCTATGTATATACGCACACATATCGTGAGACGAAGAATATGCCACAGTGCCACAAGCAAGGAGAACTACACGTGAATGCGTTGTCTTGAGTGGTTTGTTATAAAGCGAGTGGCAAACGGGGTCCTTGTAGTCCTGTCTTTTCAGAAACGTTACAATCGTCTTGAATAATCTCCCCATGGCCTTGTACCACCCCATGTCGCCTTTCTCATCTCCTACCATGTCCCTTCTGGGCCTCTTCATTCTCAATATTATCTCTGTCTCTCTCTCTCTGTGCCTCCTTCTCCTTGTGCCCAATCTCGTTTTAGGTGCTTCTTCCTCCTCGCACCCCTAGAATTAACAACGACTTAACACTGCCTATAGACTCAACACTGCCCATAGATTCAACACTGCCCATAGACTCAACACTGCCCATAGACTCAACACTGCCCATAGATTCAACACAGCCCATAGACTCAACACTGAACCTTAGACTCAACACTGCACCATAGACTCAACACTGCCCATAGACTCAATACTGCCCATAGACTCAACACTGAACCTTAGACTCAACACTGCACCATAGACTCAACACTGCCCATAGACTCAATACTGCCCATAGACGAAACACTGCCCATAGACTCAACACTGCCCATAGACTCAACACTGAACCTTAGACTCAACACTGCACCTTAGACTCAACACTGCCCATAGACTCAACACTGCCCATAGACTCAACACTGCCCATAGACGCAACACTGCCCATAGATTCAACACAGCCCATAGACTAAACACTGAACCTTAGACTCAACACTGCACCTTAGACTCAACACTGCCCATAGACGCAACACTGCCCATAGACTCAACACTGCCCATAGATTCAACACTGCCCATAGATTCAACACTGCCCATAGACTCAACACTGTCCACAGACTAAAGACTGCCCATTGACTCAACACTGCAACTTAGACTCAACACTGCCCATGAAGATGAAAAATAAGAATAGAGTTTACCCTTTCTAATATGTTTTGCCACAAGTATGTGTGGCTTTTGCAGACTTTATGCCTTGCAAAAAGTATTGATTTGGTATATGCACATCTTACCATATGTTTTATTTCCAGAAAGGGTAAAACAGATTCTTATTTCATCAAACTGCCCATAAACTCACCAGACTCAACACTGCCCATAGACTCAGCACTGCACCGTAGACTCAACACTGCCCATAGACTCAACACTAAATCTGTACATTAAGCAGTCCGCCTCCGTTACCTTCTGTCGTTGCTCTCACCTCTTCTCCATTGCCCAATCTCATCCTCTTCCCACCCCTCGCCCCTCCACTCCTTCCCGTCCCTCCCCTGCATTTTCGTGACCCCTGCGTGCCCTCTGCGACGGACACTCATTCATCGACCCTTGCACTGCTCTCGCCATCTAAATCACTCTATTCCTGAAACCGCTTTTAAAACCATTTTATAGGGCGCCTTTAACTAAGGCGCTCTATGAATGTAAAATAAGATAAAATTGAAATTAATGTTGCATTTCACGTTACCAGAAAAGTGGATAAGTACACGGGACTGTTAATGTCCCGGCAAGATTGACACATTCCCCCGGACAGCAGCCACCTCGGTAAGAGAACACCTCTGGAGGGGGCTTGAACAGATCCTCCTGGCAATCCTGCAGTACAGGAGACTCACAGCGGCACACATAAGCGCCCTCCACGGTGCTGTATGTTGAACTTCTTTCGCATCGCACATTGTTACCGAGTGCCCCCTTGACTGGACTCGACGGTGGACTCACGTGGACCCACGTGGACTCAGGTCCATAACCACACGCCGCTGATGAAGCTGCTGACGACGAGACGAGAACAAATAACATGGCTACAGGCCACGTGGCAACACTCTCCCTGCGTCTCTCCGAGTGCACGAGTAGATGTAATCGATAGTCCACGTTCAAACTAAGTTCATTGTATTTTGCCAGATCTCTATTCTAGATATGTAGGCTTTAGTAAGATTTATATTCATGGTATCATTATCATCGTCATCAATAAAATGCCCTCATAATCAATGTTAGCAATAGCAGAATCAGCAGCATAAAAATGATAATCATCATTATGAGCAACTTAAGCATCAGCAGAATAATCATTATCACCATCAGCAATATCATCATCAGCGTTAGAAACATCATCATTAGCAGCAGCAGAATTCCGTGCGGTCACGAGTAATAATTCGACGTATCCCACGTGACCCTTAAAATAAAAAAAAAGATCTCCCCTAACTTTCTCACGGGATCGTTAATTTGCCCGAGGCTGTTTTTAAACACAAGCGCTCCTCATTAACCCGCGATGGTCGCCAGAGGGCCGCGATTAGTGAAGCCTTCAAGGCTCCACCGAGGCCCAGTCACATTGCAGAGAAAACCACGAAGGTGAGGCCAGGGCCGTCCATAGCGGGGTGAAACGCGCCCCCCCCCCACAAAACGCGGGGCCCGGGGCATTCGCCCCGGCTCTGAGTAAGGCTACAGTAAAGATGTTCACACTGACGGTGGAGTGTTTGAGTGGGGCGGGG